GATCTTAGAAAGGCAGATTCACATGCTTATGACCAAAAGGTTTACTCTGTCTTGTGTTTTAGCCAACAGGTTCTTAATAACTATAACATGGGCTCTCTCCTCTCCAAATCAGAAAAGAAAAAAAATAAACCCAAACCAAAATAAGTCAATCTCATAAGGTCTTAAAAATATTCCTTAATGCATATTAAACTGGATCACACCTTGTTTGAAAGTCTCTGAAATGAAACAAGCTGGAAGGTAGCAGAATATTACAGGTTCTAATAGAAAACAAGGGCTTTGAAGCCTCAGGGTTTCAAGTTATCCCATGCTGCTCAGCAGAAGGAAAACATTTCAGTTTGGGAAGGGTGCAACTTCCTACTAAAGGATTCCTCTTTAGGAGGGGTATAAAGCTTTACTTGTGCTTTGCCTAGGCTAAGTTGCTGTAGCCATTCTGCAATAAATATGCTTAAAGCTCCTCTTAAACAGTGAAGTTCATCCACACAAGAGTCCCAGAGCAGGGCTTTCCCTTAACGAAGTTGTAGAATATCTTCGACAGCACGGCTGTGACTCAAAAGGACAAAGCCTACCAGCAGAAGTGAATGAGCACAGTAAAATATTTACTGCAACAAAGTAGGAATACAGGGGAGGGGAGGCGATAGTCTGTGATATTTTATGCCTGGATCCCAGTGGAGCTGTTTGCAAGTGTTTGTAATGAACTGCTGCTCCCTTCCTTGGGAACAACCAGGTGGATTCAAAAGCTCTAGGGGAAGAGCAGTATTAAACACCCTTGGTAAAGAGATTTATCCTTGTGGCTTGCGATCTGTGCTTTAGAGATCCTTGGCAGGCTTTGGGCTCCTTCGAGGGGATCCAGGGGAACCAGGAAAAGCAACTTCAACTCTGTAAGCTTGTAACGATGGCCCTGTAATTCCTGCCTTTCCCATGGGGCTCACACCTTCCCTGGAACATATCTAGAAGTGGTAATTAGAAAAAAAAAAAAATTAAAACCACTAGACTAGTCTAAAAGGACTTACCAGATTCCAGCACAAATACTGCTTAGCAGTTGTAGTGTATTTCTAGAAGCTTGAAAATTCTTCTCTCTTTTACACTCATCCCCTCCTAAGGAGGCATCCACATAATGAAAGAGGATGTACTGCGTGTTAACTCACTTGGAAATGTCCCAGTGAGGACTAAGTCACTTCAGTTTTATTGCCACATCAAAAGGTCAGTGCGTTAGCTTGCATAAAAATTGTAATTTCATTGTTTGCAGCAGGACTTTATTACATGCTAGCTTCTGGGGTTTGTTTTTTTGTTTCTGTAGTGCTGAAAATTTATGGGACAAGTTGCTGGCAGGGCAGAGAATGCTTACAGTACCCGGTGCATTTTCCACTATGGACGCAAAACCACCAGTACGGTGGCACGTGACCAGCAGCAGCTCACGGCAAAAGGTGTGGAAAAATGAGCAGCGTAGTCACTACAGTCTCTGTGCTGAGACCTGTTCCTAGCAGACCTGATCCATTCAATTTTTAGCTACTGTTCACTTCGCAGTGTTCTGCTTTCGTGGTGTGCCCTGGAACTTTGTCCTGATGCCCCAAAACTGCTTTGCTGCTTGGAGGCCTGCTGCCACCCAGCCCTGATCTGGCATCTGTGAGGGGTGGTTCCTTTGGGGAAAAGATACTTTGTCTCTCCTCGCTTGCTAGCCCCTTGGTGAAGTTCCAGTTCTTTTTAACAAGTTGGGTACCATAACGTTTCAACTTCAGCAAGTCAGTTAAAGGCCTGAGGTTAGGGTTAGGTCAAGTTTGCCCGAATTCAGGAGACCGCCTCCTCGCTGTAGTCGGAGGAGCCGGAGACGCGCGTCCAGGCAGCAGCATTTATCTTGCTGGTGGGCTTCAGTGGAGACCAGCTAACAGAGCTACCTGCTGAAGGCTGCATCTCCTTTAAGCATCCTGAACTAAGATACAGGTTAGATTTCTTCAAATGAGCTGTTGCAATACAGACAGTTAACAAAGACTTGAAATGTTGATGGGCTCGAAGACATGGCACTAGTTTGTGGGTTTTTTCCATCCCTTTTGAGACATAACTAGGAGATTTTCTTCATGATGGGGACTGGAACAGGCATTTTGCAGAGCTGAGGAGTCCGGGTGGCTGCAACATCCATCCTGCACCTCTGTCTGCGCTCTCCTTCACTTGGAGTTTGCAGAGATCACCGCATCCACTCCTTCAGGTGCTGTGAGCACCTTGTGGCCTGATGAATTGCTGTTGGCGACTCAGCTGCAACATCTCTGCCTTGGGTGGGCTGTGCTGCCTTTGCTCTTGCCCTTTAGAAGAGCAAAGCTATGAGAAGGTAAGCACCAAAGCCTGGTTGTCATGCTTAATTACCATAACACATATTTGGAGGGGAAAACTGTGTTTACTCTTTTAGTGTTACGCTTGGGAAAAGAAGAAGCAGAAGTGAAAAAAAAGGGGGTGATGAGGGTGAATTTACTTGAAGGCAGCTGCGGCTTCTCTTGGTGCTGTTTTGCAGCAAGAGAGAAGACAGAGAGCACCAGTCCGTTCCCACCAGG